AGGGTCAATAAGTTTACAAATATTTTCGCGTTGTTTGCTACGAAACCGCGTTAATTGATTTACATGATTCCATAACGAGACCGTATCCTTTTCACTTTGCTCTAGTTTCACAGAAAAATACTTTTTTTTTGCATTATTAATACTCGTATTATAAAGATTACGTGCACATCTATACTTACACTCTTAGAAAAATCAATACCAGATCAATACCAGGCGGTATTCATATGTGACCCTACCGTTTTGGTATTAATTTAATACCAAGCGGTATTATTTTGTGTTTATACCGTCTTGGTATAAAAATGTGACTTGCGGTATTGATTTTTTTTGTGCATGATGGTATTGCTTGTTACTACCGTGGGGTATGAATCTAATACTATGCGGTATTAACGAGTTATACCATACATTAAGAAAAATAACGGTTTAGTACTGCTTGGTATTGATTCAAATGTTATTTATTTTATACCATTATAACTTGTAATTTACAAGTCAGAAAATTATAAATGACATACATACATACATAGTCCAACCATAAGTTCCCGTGAATGCATTTCCGGTGATAAAGCCCAAAGTATTAGAGCTATCTGATAGAAATTTTTGTGGATGAACAAGGTATTAATCTTGTTTAGAAATCATAACTTCGTTTTCACAATTTCCTCCACGGGCTTGTACACAAGACATAAGTCGTGGCGAAAACTGCTCGATCGCGGCACGCACGGATTTCCTGGGAAAAGCGCCAGATCTTCAGTAAGTGCGACCTCAGCCCTTCCACACTTGGGTGAAATTTAGAGCATACTTGTACCTATAATTTTGACCACCAGTCATAATTTAGGGGATTAAGGTCTGCAGATACTGAGCACCGTTCTACGGATGAAAAAAAGTCATGAAAATTCGTCTGAAGCCAGTTTTGGACAATTTTGCACCTTGCGCATGAGCAGATTCTTGTTGAAAGGTCCAATGGCGATTTTCGGAGGGTCCAGGGTTCAGGTTATTAACGTTTGTCTCTAGGACACTCTGAAAATAATTCTTGGCTTCAACTTGTACCCTTTGCGGTAAAAAACAGAGATTTCATTTCTCCAGCCAACTTGCTCCCATGCACACCACGGTGATGACTTCGTATTGACTTCCGCATACTTAAACGGATGTCAGACTTCTGTACAACAAATATCTGGCCTTTTTTTCTATTAAATTTTTTGCCAACGGTGAAAAGTCTGAAATACTTTTGGCACGAAAATTGGCGCGTACCACGATCGACCTGTGGCCGTCACGAGTTATGTCTTGTCTAATTGCCCGTGGACGAAATCTTGACAAAGAAGTTATGATTTCTAAACAATATTAATACCTTGTTAATCCATAAAAATTTCGAACAGATAGCTCTAATACTTTGGGATTTATTACCGGAAATGCATTCACGAGAACTTATGACCCCACTATGTACATACATAAATATTTACAAAAAATGGAAATCAACCAGATACAACATAGACTGGATCTACAAACACAAGTAATTAAAAAAAACAATTGTGTAAACAAGTCACATTTTACGGTATTTATTTTACATCTATTTTTCGATTTAAACTTATTTCACCTCCTGATTCGATAGGAAATCTGCCACTGAAACAAGTGAAAAGCAAGTTGTTAATTAGCTGAAATTTGAATTTCAAACACGTCTATTTTAGTTTGATTGTTGTACTTACATATTTATAAATGTGTTCACCAACCTAAAATCATCCTGAATCCTATATTCACGACCGGAACAAGGAATTGGCTAAGTCGATGAACTTGCTAAATATAAAAGAATTAAATTCAAAATTAATTAATAAAGCAGAAAATATAACGAAATTAGTGGTTTAAAATACTTCCCTATTAATTAATATATGTAGCAAAAGAAAAAACGAAAAGACACATAAATTTAAGCTTACCCTTTAATAACAACTTGTCAAAGTTTCTATCGGAAGTACTCAATTTCTTCCCCTCAAATAATTCCCCAGCCGAACTAATTTTGAAGAACTTATTCTTAAAAGAGAACGATTTGCAACTGCAAGTGAGTAGTTTGCACATCCCGCGCCCAAGTCTATACCGGACAGATTTGAGACTGCGTAAACGTGGTATAAAATCGGTACCGGGCAGTATTGATGTTTTACCAGTTCGGTATTACAAGTTAATACTCTGCACGTACAAGCTCGTGGTATTGATTTTTCTCAATATTTTAATACCGAATCGTGACTGCGTGATGATACCAGCATGACGGTATTAAAATTTTTCAGAGATCAATACCCAGTTTCTAAGAGTGTACTAATATCCGAGCTTAATTGAGACGCGTCAGCAATACGACGTAAACAGTCTCTACTTTTCCTCATAATAACATGATCAGAAGTATACCACGGGTTCCATTTAGATTTGACATAACGGGACTTTAGAGGTACATACTTGTCTAGTAAAGTTAAAAAATACAAATTATAACGATTAAATTCATTGTCAACATCACTAAAATAATCAAAACTAAACTCTCGTAATTCCTTATTAAGAGCTTCGAAGTCACAATTTTTATAACATCTATAATTAATTTTAATTGGTACAAATTTGGGCTTATTTGATTTGCGGACTACAAATACTAAGTCATGGTCAGAACTAGTATGTGCTAAGTGTCCATTCACTAAAAAATTATCTTTTCTACTTACATACACGTGATCTAGTAAAGATCGCCCTTTAAATGTAGGTCCTCTCATGAGTTGGGACAAATTAAATTCTCTTGCTGCATTACTAATTAAAAAAGAATCGTTCCGTTTAAGTAAATCCAAATTGAAATCTCCAAGAATAACATAGTCTCTCGACTGCGAGAGGAGGAAACAATTAATTTCATGAAAATAAGGGACCAATTTCGCGGCCGGAACATCCGGATGACTATATAAAGTGGTAATGATGAGAAATTTATCATTACATAGATTTACTTTTATGAACAAATGTTGGGATTTAGTATTACATTTTACTGGGCAGTCAATGATTTCATATTTAAAACAATTTTTAATATAAACTATAATCCCTCCGCCTCTAAGTTCGCGGTCCTGCCGGATAAAGAAATAGTTCGGAATGAGGTACCGTCCATCATTTAGGGACTGGTCGAGCTTAGATTCTGTTATGGCGTAAAAATCTAAACCCGTTACCTGAAGGAGCATGGCTACCTCATCAATTTTGTTTCTCAAACTGTTTAAATTTTGATGTGCAATTTTAATACCTCGGGTGTTCCTTAAAAAAGCACAAGGATGAGAGTTTACCACGCTTAAATTTAGAGCAGACGGTGGTGACGACGACGACGACGACGACGCAACGATGGTGGGTGAAGAATGAAGAGATGTGAATGTGCGGTGTGCGCTTGCGGGGGACGGAAGAGGTGAGGCGTCGAAGAATCCATCGTTGATAATTTGTGTAAAGTCTTGTTTACTGGGGGTACACTGAGGACAAGCCCACTTGATGCGATCCCTTATTACACCAGGGTGACATGTTTTGTGGTGGACTTGTTTGCATGTTGAACAGATTAGTTGATGTTGTCGTGACTTGATTGGTGACTGGCAAGCACAACAAATTGCTTCTGACATTACTGCAGGTCTAGGGATATCATTCGGTAAATGACATGGTGGGCGAGGGGGGTTGTCGTTGGTGTTGGGTAACTCGTTCAGGCCAAAGGGGGGGAAGAAATAAAGAAGAATTGTGAGAGCGAGATATATCCATCAATGATTTAGGAACTATACGGTTAATTAAAATAAACTTGCCAGATACGGCATTTTTACGTGCCGAAGGGAGAAAGCGCCAGTAGTGCGCAATCTTAAAGGCCTTGCTTTCTCCCATTTCCGATACGAGGGCCGGACACGAGGGAGAGACATCCCCTAATAAGGATGTGGTATCGCCGGTGCAACAGGCTGGAAGAATCCACTTGAGACGGAAATAGGGGAGGCCGGTGTTACCAAATAAAATTCACACGAAAAAACGAACAAAAAACGGTCAGTGGTGGTCTGGGCATAACTTTTCATCTACCACTGGATAGTTGGGTACGATAAGGAGAAGATAATACCATGTCTGGAATCGGAGGATGTGAAAAACTCGAATTTTTTAAAGAAAATAAAATACAATTGAGAGAGCGAAAAAACACACGTCAAATGTATTGTAACATTGTAACACGTCGTAGTCCATTAGAATATTATTCTGCTCGACCTGCTCTTCAATGATTCCTTCGATGAGCTAAATTCGTATTTTATCATCGACTCATCCCTTCGATTGTGTGTAACTGCGATTATATTGAATTATAATTTAATTATCTTAATTAACTGTTAAGAAGTGTAGTAGCTTGGAGATTTAGACGCGTCTATTCGAATAAGGCTAGTATTTGGGCAAGGCTACTATTTGGGTAGGGCTACTATTTGGGTAGGGCTACTATTTGGGCAGGGCTACTATTTGAGCACGGTCACTATTTACAAAATTTTGAAAATAGACACGGCTACTATTTGAGCACGGCTACTATTAGAGTTTTTACGGTATACAAGTATCTACATTATAAGCTGGAAATATCTGTTGGCAACGGAAGTGGAGGCAATTTGTCCGCAACGGAAGTGAAAGCAGGTGAACATGAAAGTAAATATATAGAAAGTTCATTTTCATCTACGACCAAACTCCATCGCGTCTGTTTTTCCTTGGGACGTCAATTTCAACAGATTCTGAACGCTTAATACGAACATGATAAAAGTTTTGACCTCTGACAGCCAAGTGACCGTGTGGGTCAGGTCAAAGATCAAAAACTTAAATTACACTTCGGACGTTCCAACTTGCTTAGAGATTTGCTTAAATTTTCCTGTCTTCAAGTTTTTACTTTAACATTCGCTACGAATTCGTTCCACTTCCGTTCGCATCAAGAGTTTCAACTAATAATAAAAATATTTAATTGGGTGGAATATTAAAAATTAAATAAACTTTTGCCCGGCGGAAGACGGGCTTATACGCTAGTTAAAAAATACTCTCAAATGGTGGAACAAAATTTATCTATCAATCACTTATCATTTTACAACAGGCTGGTTATTTATCAGTTAAAATAAATAATTAGTTAAGCAATGAATTAGGTAGTATTTACAAAATTGTGGGTACCCGTTTAATAAGACGTACTCCCAACAACATACATACTTACATACATACATACTTCTTTCCCATAACAGCACAATTTGCTAAAACTTCTATAGAAATAAATATTTCAAGTTATTAAATAAATTTAAAACTAAAATTGCATGGGTTTATACAAAAAGAAGTATTGCGAAATGTCGCAAATTTAATCAAAATTTGAAAATTATTTATATCTCCATTATGTACATATAGATAAATACGTATCAATTTTAACTACCTAACATATGATCTCGACAATGTCCGACCAATTCGAAATAAGTGAATAATTTCTTCCCACAGAAGTTACATCCATGCCTCCCTCCATTGCGACGCATTCTGTGAGTGGGTAAATTATACTTCTAACAGCTTTTCTACTTGTCGCAGGAATGGACCAGCTCCTTATTCGCAGCATGCTTCGCCTCCACGTGAACCTTCAAGCTTGATGAGTAGGTGAATCTCTTGTCACAAAATGTGCACGGATAATTCCTCTGGTTTTCATGTGCAGCACCGATGTGTAGTTGTAGACCAAGTCTGCTTAAGAAGGTCCGCGGACAGACGTCACACCGTAACATGTTCCGGGCAGATTTTGCCAAATGTGTCGCCTGTAAATTGAATGTGCTCTTGGACGGTGTCTATCTTGAAGCCTTGGCAGCTGAATTTTTTATTTTTGAATTTAATCAAAAATAAGTCACATGAAATTAGGCAACTATTTTTAAAATTTTCCTTCTACTACACTAATTTCATGGTCTGTGACCTATTTTTGATGGAAATTCAAAAATAAAAAAATCAGCTGCCAAGGCTTCAAGATTTGGTATGGATACCGTCCCTGGGAAATTTAATTGAACCTTGTTTTCCCAAAAACACGCTTTACCTCGTGAAGTTTCATGGCTCCGATGCGGGCGAAACTCCTCAAACAAGTGGAACACTTGTACTTTTTCTCCGTCCTGTGGGTAGGAATGTGAGCTTCAAGTTGAACCCTCGTTTTGAACGTCCTTCTGCAAAGCGTACACGGATATCGGACGGGAGTCTGGGCATGTTCAGTTTCCACGTGTTTCGCAACATCGTCCTCGTGTTGGTAGGTTTTCTCACAGCCAGGAACCGGACACGAGAAACGAGGGGGTTCCTTCCCGCCGTGGACGGTCTTATTGTGTCGCTGTAAATTATCAACGCTGAAAAACACCCGGTGACAAGTGGGACAACTTGGTCGCTTCCGATTGTTGTGGATTTCCAATATGTGCTTAGATAAGGATCGTTTGTTTTTGAATATTTTGCCGCAAACCTATTAATGTACAGAAAAGAGGACGTGTGGATTGTATTATAAAATTAGTCTCACTTGTGCAAATTTATACGCTCACTTCACACGTGACTTTAGCATCGGGATCGTGCGTGACCACGTGTCTGGTCAAATGGTCTTTGGTTTTAAACTGTTTTGAGCACTTTTCACATTCCCATTTCTTTCCTGGCGTCAGATCCATGTGGGTGGATTCGGTGTGCGTATATTCGCAATTAAGAAATTGAGGTGCTTAAACAAATTCTACTTGTTACCTGTAAGAAAAAGTTTTCTTATATTCATAAAAAATTACAAGTTTGCGCCAGTAATTCATACATTTTAAAAGCATAAGCCAACATGAAACACGCTTCCAGTAATTCTTACCGATAATAATGAGATATTCATTATTTTTTCGTATCCTTAATATCGTAAAATAGTTGACCAAGAAAAAACATGGGGTCAAGCTTCGTAAAAATTCGTGAGCGTATTAATGCGATTTTCGATGACAAAATCTTACAACGCCGACAAAAATCTCGTAACCACCTAATCTTAGATATTTTGCGATACGAGGAATATTAAGGATACGAAGAAATGTTGAATACCCTCAAAATTTATTAAAACGACAAGAAACAAATTTTGCGCTATTTAAAAAAAATGGAATTTGGTCCACTTCATTCAAGGTTAAGTTTCGTTTGTTACCGTGTGTTGAATAGGATTGTTTAATTTTTAGTTACTTATGTACATATCTGCTGCTTAAACATGTAATACTAAAATGTTGGTTCGTGTAGCTTGAAAAAGGTAGCTTTTTTACGCATATAAAAATAGAAAATGCCAAAATTCATAGAATTTGTTGACGTATTTTGTAAACAAAAAAATCTCACATTTTTTCACTGAATGGGAAGACTAGACAATATTTAGATTTAATCTGTATTGTTCTTAAACCTCTGTGAACGACCGATTCCCGGAAAATTGGGGCACACACCGTTTACATTTGCAGTGAGTCCAAATATGTAGAAGTATATTTGTTGTGTGCAGAAAAGGCAATTGATTAACCTTAATTTTACCAGGCCAACCCAATGACTAAAGTGCTTTAAAAATGAGTAGACTATTAATAGAATACATATGTAACTATATACGCATACGTAGATTTCTAAGAATTTATTAAAAGTACCATATTTAGGGTTTTCCTATTTTAGTTATTTATTAATCGATCACACAAAAAGGTAAGGATGAATGATATCTGAATTCTACCGGACTATATATAAAAAGGGTCTTATTTGCGGCTTACGGATGATGGCCTCCCCCCAATGACCTCCCAGTAATAACCTCCGACCAATAGCCTCCTGAGGAAATTGGCCTCCCTTACCAATGGCCTCCCAACCAATCTCCTCCCAGACCAATCGCCTCCCGCCCAATATCCTCCCATGATAAATACACGCATTGTTTTTTAATATTTAACCTATCCACATCTTAATTGTTTCATCACCAATTTTTGAAAAGTTGTAAACTGATTTCTATTAACACTTAAAACACAGGTTTAAATCAAATCAAATTAATCATTTTTACCTGCACGCATGCAAACGACACTGTACTTTTATTCTCGTTTGCATACAACGAATTCAACGTCGTCAGTGCTTTTAACCTCCGAGCAATCTATGACCGAGAGGATGAGGTCAAAGGTCGAAATTTAAGCGTCAACTGTTTTAGACTTGGATTTGGGCGAGAACATCAGAAATCGACAGTTTTAATGTATGAAGGAAGACCATGCACACGAGGTCAAAGGTCAAAAATTTTATATTTCGACCGTTGCAGACGTAGTTTAGTTTGAGGCGGGGAGTTCAGAAACCATTATCATTTCGGCTTATATCAGCCTGGTTACCGACGCCAAAGGTCAAAAATATCGAATTTTTAGTTTTGATCATTTTTAAACGCTCATTGTGGAGGGAGTCTCATTTTATATATCATGAGTTGATTTGTTTCAATTTTTGACTCATCTATTTCGCGAAATTTTACAATCAAATTTTTTAGAGTACAAACTAGTGGAAATTCTCCAGGTCTTTTGATTTTTGTACTAATTTTTATATTGTACTGTAGTCACAGTAAAGTACAAGTAAAAGTACAAAAAATCTCCAACTCTCTATTGATGAGTAATGCTCTCTCGCTGATGACTAAATAGTGATGATGACACAATTAAGATGTGGATAAGTTAAGTATTAAAAAACAATGCGTGTATTTATCATGGGAGGATATTGGGGGGGAGGCGATTGGTCTGGGAGGAGATTGGTTGGGAGGATATTGGTTGGGAGGCCATTGGTAAGGGAGGCCAATTTCCTCAGGAGGCTATTGGTCGGAGGTTATTACTGGGAGGCCATTGGGGGAGGCTATTGGGGGGAGGGGATTTTCCGCAATTCGTCTTTGAATAACTGTGAGTTGATGTGCAAATAATTATTTATATGCACATCAACATATCATCAATTTATTTGCACATCAACTCACAGTTATTCAAAGACCATTGCCCACTCCACTCTGCTTAAAATCCAAGTCCAGTCAACAATTTTATTTTCCAGAAACTTATACTCCTCAATTTTTTACAAGGTAACAAATTCACTTTTATAAATTTAAGTTTCATTTCAAGCTTAATACGAAATTTTTCAACTATTCACAATTTTGATTCCTTTCTCTAATTAAATTGTATATTTACCCTGAAACTAATGTTTTTTTACATTTTAAACATTTTCAGAACCCAATCCCAACCATGAACTCCATGAAGCTTGCCGTTGTCCTGGTCCTCGTGGTCTTTGCCGTAGGTGTGTCAGTGGAGGGGCGGAAGTGGGAGGACGGCGCCTGGGTGTACGACGACAACGCCGCGTGCAGCAACTCCAAGGACCTGGGCACCACGAACTGCTACCCCGCCTGGAAGGACACCGTCGCCGCCTGCACCGAGACCTGCCACGCCCAGTCCCAGTTCCAAGGCTACATCAAACGAGACGGCTGCACCTTCAGCAAACGCTTCTGCTGCAGCACGGGGTCCTTCTAAATTACTTAAGTGCCTGATTTTCGTTATATTTAAGAAATTTTGACCCAAAGTAACAATACTTTACAATACTTTGTTACGTTAAATTCATTTGTGCTCGTTATTTTATCTTCATACTGTTTCCTGATTTATCCTCATACTATTTCCTGATTTATCCATAGTTATTATACAAGATGGTAGAAAGCTGTGACTATTTCTGAGTTTTAGTTAGGAATACAGAAATAACTCATCTCGCGTACTTCGTGGTAAAATCCAGTGAGACGTTGTGACTCTGGTAAATCAATCCCCTACCGATTTTTGGCGGTGGTGGCTGCGTTACTGGGACCGTTCACGATGTATGTCACATAAATGAAAACCTAGTAATTAGAAGGAAAACATTTTTCTAATTAATTAGTAATTACCAGAAGGCGTATGTATGTACATAAATACCACAAAATATGTATCTTCTTAAAAAACCTGAAAATATCACACATACAAAATGTTTTTCAACCTGAATTTTCTACGATATTCATGAAATATAATTTTGAGGGAACCTTAATTTGAGTGATATTTTCAGGTTTTTTAAGAAGATACATATTTTGTGGTATTTACGTACATACATACGCCTTCTGGTAATTACTAATTAATTAGAAAAATGTTTTCCTTCTAATTACTAGGTTTTCATTTATGTGACATACATCGTGAACGGTCCCAGTAACGCAGCCACCACCGCCAAAAATCGGTAGGGGATTGATTCACCAGAGTCACAACGTCTCACTGGTAAAATCCTTCCACAATATCGTCCACCACGTTTTTCCCAATGTACCCAGAATCTCCCATCATGCTTAACCAAACGTCGTCGCAACTGGTCATCAAGCCCATGGCAATGACTAAAAAGTAGGACAATGGTCAAATATAAATCATTAAAATGTATGTATTAAATCATTGATTTTAACCAAACTCAAGTAATTTTTAAGTCAATACGTGCGTGAATATACCAAATTTTTAGCAGTTCACCATTTCAGTTAAATAAGTGAATACGTTAAATATGTCAATAAATTTCTCACCCTTAGTGCCATGCGTCCCTCCAAGAATACCATTCATTCCGAGAACCGGGAATCCAAACATCGTTATGGGTAGTCGATTCCATGAAAAGTTTGTAAAAGTGAAGTTTGCCCTCAGCCTATTATTCAGACGGAGCATTGTTCTTAAGATAACTGGAAGTTGACATGCTGCAAGAGATCCAATCATCCCCAGAACCCAAGGAATTGCCGAATTTCCCAAATTTTCAAGTTGTTCTTTAATTAGGTGCATCCTCGTGGCAGAATTTTCTTCTCTAATTGGTAGCACGATGTAACCGATCCGATCATAAATTTGAATATTACAGAACTTCATATAATTTTCAAGGCCTTAGAAATTTGTACACTCTTAGAAAATTATTTATTAAATTAATACCAAGCGATATTCATAAATGCATATTTATATAGCTCTATTGAAGTGGCATTAATAAGTAATACATACAGTGTAGTAATGTCTCGGTATTAAAGTTTTACCATATCGACACGGCAGATTTTTACGAACCAGTATAATTTTAATACAAAGTGGTAGCAACTTTAATACCGAGAAATTAATACATTCGCGACTGTAGCAGATTTCTAACAGTGTAAAAACAATTATTTCTTACATAATATTTCTCATTTTGTCGGGATGATCTTTGCTCAGCATGGGGAAATTCACTAGAATATCAGCACTTGGGGACACACCTCTTTTCAGGGCAGCTTTCCTCACCGAGTTTGTCAAGCAGTGGTACATAAACGTTGTAAGTGATATGTTATTTTCATTCGCCAGTTTTTTCATCGTGCTAAAACTTATTGGCGGGAGTGATGGGGCGTAACTAATTCGTCCCGAGAAACCGGAAGTGTTCCTATCTATCGCAGAAAATACATCTGTGCTAAATAACGAGATTAGTTGTGCTTCAACATACGCCGCCAAATCGTACGGGATCATAACTAGTGTCGATATAAAGGCCCAATTTTGACACGATTTAGTACAGGCTAGACCACGCCCCATCATCTTTGGCGGGACAACTTGTCCCACAAGGTCGGGATGGGTAACGTTGCTGAATAAGTTTAATATCGAAACGCCATCTCCGAGAGCGTGATGGTAGCGGAAAATAATGTCGAAATATTCCCCTGATTGTACTGGAATTAGGACAATTTCCCATAAAACTTGGCGGCCAAATTTCCACCCTAATTCGCTCATATTTATCAGTAGAGATCGGCCCTGAGTTGAGTATAGGTCGAAGGAGAGGGGTAGAATGAGACGAATCGATAATTCAAAGTTGGGCACGTTTTTCCAAAAGAGAAATCCGCACCAGGAAATGATACTTTGACGAAGCTCGGGGTATCTTAATTTGTTGTGGGAATCTCTACAATTTAGTATTTTTAGGGTGAAGTCCTCCTTTATCTTGGTCAAGTCAGGAACTCCTAAAAAAAATAGGAAGTACGGATACATTTAATTTGAATAATTTTCCATGTACTGGATTAAAGAGAATTTAGAAACTGTTTGAAATCCAGAATTAAGATAATGCAAAGAGGTATTCACACTTATATGGCTTGACCGAAATGATATTGAGGAGTATATGTATAAGCGTAATAATAGCTATGTGTTAAAGATTACCAAAGAGGTAACAAATTTTTACGGACCGGTATAATATTAGTACCAAACTTTAATACTGATAAATCAATACCAAATTTCTAGCAGTATACAAAAATTCCACCCTGACCTTGCACCCTCCAGTGGAACACCATCGTGGTAAGATTTGCATTTACCCCGAATACGTTGGATATTCCGTCCAAAATTTCGCCAAATCCAGTCGGTGATACAATTTTGGCGAGTAAGATGACAAAACATCGTGGAAATAATGCAAACACGAGTAGAATTAGCAAACCGATGGCGACAAATATAGAAAGAAATATTCTAAATACCAAACGAAACAATGATTTGCAGGGAGAAAGATAGAATTGAGACATTGTTCTGGTTTATGTCAAATTCAAGTGATTCTTTAAAAGGCACAGGATAGTTTCATTCTCTCAATGAGGGAGGTTTGGATTAATTCGTTTTAGAAGTACATAAAAACACATAAAAAGTCACTGGTTTGTATGTACATACCTATGTATTTAGTTATGTATAGAAACATATGCAAATTTTCATGCACACGAATGTTCCCATGGTACCTGATTTTTTTATTGTCTGCCAATTATCTCATAGTTCATATGCAATTAAATACTTACGTAATTAATAATACCTTAGCTCTTTGCTTTGTAAATTATCTTTACCAATACAAATAAATCTTTGTGAAAATCTTTGTGATACTGGATTTACCAGGATGAAAAGTATTGATATTTAAATGATGCAGATAAGTAAACAATTTCTTCTTCGTTGTTGTATTGTAGGTAGTAAATTCCACTCGTAAAGACTTTGTGGTTTTTACACTCACAAACTTTACTCGGATACCAAAATTTTTCTCATCACATGCAAAAGGTCATTGGGTTTGGGTACACAAATGTTGTGATAATACTTGAAACATGCATGCATATTTATGTATGTAGACTACCTGACTACAAGAAACGAGGGACTTTACATCAATCAATTCTGATATGGAAAACCGTGCGAAAATTTGTTTCAGAATAGATAGTTATGCAACTTTCATTAATCTTTTGCTAATACATATTTAGTAGATTTCAAATTACAAAATTGTATATAAAGCAGTTAATTTTTTAAGAAGTCGTAAAGTTTTTAAGAATCGGTCGTCACGTATATAGGCAAGCAAAAATGCAAACTATTCATACAAATGCAACAAATAATTACTAATTTGACGATTAAATGATAAAATTGCATTTAATTTGGGGTATCCATTGTGGTCATTGAGAAACTTGCAACTTGGACTCATACATAAATGGTCCGAACTGATTTTAAAAATTTCTAATTATGGTGTGATATGTTGAATATATCTTATATTAAACTCACAATGCGATAACGCCAGCGGTCTCGTTCCGATTTTAAAGAAACTTGGATAATTGTAGCCTTAGGTAATTAATTAAATACATGTTTCGGGATTTTTCATAATGCTCAGTTTAAACAAAGTTATGATGGTATAAGTGGCCGAAAATTCGCATTTTTCTTGTAAAGTTTTTCTTTTTTTGTTTTTGAGGGAGAAAAATGCGAATTTTCGGCCACTTGTAACATCATGACTTTGTTTAAACTGAGCATTATGAAAAACCCCGAAACATGTATTCAATTATTTAAGGCTACATAATTATCCAAGTTTCATCAAAATCGGAGCGAGACCGCTGGCGTCATCGCATTGTCAGATATTAGCGAATAAAGCGAATTTAATCCATTATCCATTTGGTATTTTTTCATTATGCCTCCCGTTCTTGTTTTTCCGAAAGATTTTGCAACTTCCTTGCTAATTTCCAACACGGGAATTAAAATTTTCTTAGATTGTCGACTCTTTGACAAAGCTAGGAGTATTTCATCTTACACAGAGCCCTCCATCTTTGTTTGGGTGAAGATGAACTGCGTTTGGACGATTTTCGTCTTTTAACCCCAATCTGACGTTTCGTCAATTTCCTTCTTGACAGGTTTGTATATTTAGTAGATGGTTGCAAGGTTGGTCCAAAAAATTAGTTGCCAGTCATCCGTTGCTTATACAATAGAAGAAACGGCTAAATGAATTAATCTGAAAGTGTAAAGGCAAAACGAAATGCGTAACAATTCACCTTGAAAAATTAAACGTAATTCATAATAGGGCTGGGTTAGTATATTCATTTTAATTACTCTTTACAATAATTACAGCGCAACCTTATTTTAGATAAAATAATTTACTCCAAAATATTTGCCACAAACACTTAATTATATTTACTTGTCTTCCAAAAACGTATTTGACATCCAATAAATTATGGCTGTTGTCCTGATTAGCCAATTATATAAGTCGCATTTGTCGAGTTTATAAAAATACAAGGTGAGTTGCGGAGTCATTTTGAAGCAGTAAAAAGTTTGGTTTTTAGCTCAAGAGAGTGATCGGGATTAATTTTGTCGTGTTTTTCAACTCATTAATTACTTTCTTATAAACTCTACCTTCCAGAACGAAAGAATTAAAACACGTTGTCCAAAATAACCCGACCTTGGCCGACAAAGTAGGTTTTGTGGATTCAAATTAGAGCATTAAAATTAGACAATCCCTGTTTTCTAGAAAGCTAAATATGAACATATTTCATTTGTGTTGGGTAGGAACTATGTAAGTAAATAAATTGATGTTAATATGTATATTGTATATATATTCCCCCCAGTAAAGGCTACAGGGGCCATTTGTAACTTTGCTCTGAACTAGATTATTATTTTTCATTGATACATATGATCCATATTCTCTTAAATGGAACTGCGCTATTTTAAAGTATACTGCGTAGTTCGTTGAGACTGAAATTTAGCATTATTATTTTTTCAGACGCAACTTCAAGGGCTTTTAGGGGTATAAAGCATTTTTTTTAAACGACGAAATTCGATAGAAATAGGGCTGAAAATAAAAAAAAACTTGAGAATAGGGTTTTTCAAAACTAAAAAAATGTCGCCTAACGTGACGCAAACATGACGTGGTAATACTTCAAAACGGAAGTATGCCGCAAAACGATAATCTATGTTTATAGTTCGAAGTATTAGGATCACAAAAAGCGAAATTCAAAAAATATTTGAGGCCACCACTCGTCACAGCCACCCAAAAAAATGTGGAACCCGTCAAAAAACTCTTCACTAGAAATCGTTCGGGGTAAAGTCCTGCGGATGCTCCGGTAGTGAAAATCTCAAAAAGTTTATTGTGCAGCATTAAAGTTCATAAACTTGGGATTACAGAAAAAATCAAACAAAGTCTTGCAAAGTACATTCAAGACCCAAAAATTACCTTCCAAAAATGTTGCAAAAACTTTTGCCGTCAAATGTCATTAAAAATTATCATCATTTATGACGAGACCTACGTCGACCCTGATCCCTTAAAGACTTCGAAAAACACATTTTTTCACGCAGGCAGCCCTGCCAGTCTAGATTATCAACAAAACTTGTGCATAAAAACTGAACTCCCTGTAAAATTCCTAATTGGTCATGGCACGGTTAACATTGAGAAAGATACTCCTAAAACAGTAAACCCCCTAAATGTCCTTTATTTAGGAGAAAGTGACAAGTTTTCGATCTTTTGGAATAGAAGGTACTCTGATCTTCGTTTCGACTCGACACAGATAGAAAAATTCGAACGTTAATGGGGAAAATCAGCAAGTACATTTCGGATTTCGAGTGAAAATCGCAAATTGGAGGGTTGCTGCGGAAAGTCGTATTGGTGAACAAGAATGAAGAAAGATAAATGGTTCTAAACCAAAACTGACATGTCTGGTTCCTGCCTACGATTTACGACAGACTTTATAAATATCCACTAACCAGGTCGAAATGTACAAGTCATTTTGCGTGGTTCCACTTAAGGGAATATGAATCATATTTAAATCCAGTGTAACTTGGGAACCTTTACTTATGTATACATTTAAATCATCTTTATATGAGTGGATACCTACACATCTCGAGTCAAATATGTCGACAGACTTACTTTGGCAAGGTTTTGCCAACCATGCAAATCTATTCCCTTTCAGAAACTACTTCCCCATCGGGTTCAAACTCAGAAAACGAGTCTTATTTTGTAACTCAAGGAACAAATCGTTGATTTGGGTGATCATCCACGTAATAAATTTCATCGCATGCTTCGTTGCTCCGGGATGCCTTTACATCTTCGCTGACTTTCCATCCTCCAGAGACAACTACATCGTAACGCAGATTATGGTCGGGCTGATTATGATATGTCAGGGATTTGTAAGCTATGTCGATGTTTTAATTTGGATGCATGCTTCCTCAGCCGCTAAAGGATTCAACAACATCGTGATGATGGAGGGATTGATAAAATGTGGTAACTTGCAAAGTATATGTAAATATCTATGTACATTGTTATAAATTCACTCAGTTCTTCGTAAAAACCGTAAACTTGCAAACTCTTACAAAATTGTACAAATATTTCAAAGAAAATTAGCTAACAAATTTTTGTAAATTTAGTCCGATCCTTTTATTTTGTAAAAGTTTGTAAAATTATTCCACCAAACTTTAAGCATTTTACAAGTTACCAGAGCTGGCCAAATTACTTGAAAGTCAAATTACAAATATACTCATAATATTGATTCAATTATAATTACAATTACTCAAGTAAGCTCAATTACTACTTACTAATTGCAGTTTCCTCATTAGAAAGAATGCTTTAATTACAATAACAAATTACGTAATTGAATTACAACACCAATTACCAATTACGTTTGAGATTTTTTACGAACATCCATTATTCAATATTCAGCTACTTAATTTCAATACTTATTCACTTTTAACAATGTAGGTAAATGCTACTTCTTCAAAATTTCAAGGTAGAACAAAATGATTTATTAGGGACGTTTTGGATTAAAAGCATTTAATTTGTTTAAAGTTAACAGGTATTGGAACTATTTGAATATAAAATGATGGGTTTTTATTAATGGTCTTACGATTAGAAATTAGTAATTAGTGTTGCAATTCAGTAATTTGTACTTGGTTTTATTCATAAAGCCCAATATCTCATCGGATAAACCCTACAAATTTATTCTACTGCAGCGAAAAAATTCGTAAACGAATAGGAAATTTGGATTAAAATGTTTATTTTAATCCAGAAATGAGAGACAATAAAATGATGATGCTTAGTGAAATGCGGACAAACGACCAATTAATTTAAGTACCTCAATTAAATTACAAATTGAAATTACATTTTTTTAATAAAGTAATGAAATTACGGATTACAATTACTAAATAATTGGTAACTTGTAATTGTAATTTTCCCGTACTAATTTGGCCAGGTCTGCAAGTTATCAATGACTGCATGATTTGCCTAACGATTTCCTCATTCTCAACATATCCTGTCATAGCCTAAGCTAATCTTACTCCGGATCTTTTCAGAAACCAGTGACGAAACCCAGAATAAACTATCAACACAAAAATTAGA